CCCTCTGCCCCAGGCCTCCCGCGGGGGAGAGGCCCAGGAGGTTTGGGTTTCACAAATTTGGCCCACTCTGCACCAGTTTCCCCGGGGCACCTTTCTGCTCCCCCTGAGGCACCACCCCCGCCTCCCGGGGCCAAAGAAAATTGAGCCCGTGTACTCCCCACTCAGCACCCGTAAGTCATAATGCGCAAGGTCTGAGTTCCCCGCAGAAGGAGCCGTCGAGCCATCATCTTCCCCACGCGGCCGGAGGGCACAAGGGCTTGTATTGCTCACGCGCTGGGAAGGCGGCGCTCAGAGCCCCGCCCGCGGTTGCGAGTTCGAATTCCAGCCTCCTTGCTACTAAGTAGCCAGTTTCTTGCCTCCCCTAAAGGTTGCGGCCCTAGACTACTACTCCTGCGGCGCGAAATTAAGAAACTTACTTGTTTTGTCATGGAGTCAATGAGGCGCACGTAGAAATCCTGTTCGGTCCTTATGCCTGGGGGAGGGGGAGGGATAGGGAAACAAGAAGAATTAAGTGAGAGGGGATCTGCGCGAAAACAAACACACAAAGAATGGGGCTCCAGGCTCAGGGAATTCCAGCTGTCCCGGAGCAGCACGGCCAGGACCCCCGCCCTCCCCTTCCCCATGGTCCAGAATGGGGCCTCTGGCCTAGCCCTAGCGCTCCTGCAAGCCAGCCGCCCAGCACCGCCGCGGGCCATGGGGCAGGACCCCCACCTGGCTACTCTCCCTTCCCAAGGCGGGAGCCCCCTCTGCACGCTCTCAGGGAGCCACCAAGAGACTTTGGGCCTGGAGTCTGGGCTAAGCGGTGGAAACCGACCTTAGGAGAGGAAGAAAAAAAGGGGCCCAACGAGGGCCGAGGAGCCACACCTTGCCCCCAGGTAAGCACAGGCCCAACGCGCCCAAACACAGGCGACTCCAGGCTCCTTGGGTGAAACCTCCTCAGGCGAAACTCAGGTAAGGCTGCTTTACCCCGAGGATGGTGGTCAACGACTCCATTTTGCTGGGGCTCTTGTCCACCTGGAGTCCCCCGCACCCCCTGCTCTCACCCTGAGCCCCAGGGTGCCGGACCGACGGGGGGCCTCACCATTGCTGTAGAGGAGCTGCAGCCGGTAGTGAATCCCATTATTGGTCTTCTCGCTGTTGGCTTCCTGGGTTGCATCAGGATGCAAAGACACAAGAGACGCAGAAGAGAGGTCGGCGTGAGCTCGTGGACCGACTTCGATGCAACTTTCCCAGCCCGGACAGGCCCGGGAGCAGCAGAAATTGCGGGCAACTGTGATCCCTCTGCCGCCCCCAACCTGACCCTTACTGCTCCCTCTTCCCTTCCAGAAAATTCCGTGGGGCGCGCACAGGCGATCCCCATCCCCTGGGGGCTCAGGCCTGGGACAGCAGAGGCAGGAGCCGCGCGTGGTCGCGCGGTCAAGGGCGGGTTCATCCCGGGCGCCCTTGACTCTGGAGTGTGAAGCTGGGCTCGCCCCTCTCCAGCCCTGGAGGCTCAGAGCAAACTTTTTTTGGAACAGAACCTCACCGACAAGGAGCCGGGGTTCGCCCAGGCAGGGAAGTGCCTGGGGAGACCCCCGCGCAGGAGGGTCGCGGTTGCTTCGCACGCGCGCAGGAGCGAGCCTCCCCAAGCGCCTGGGCCTGCTCCCCTGCGGGGACGGGGGGCAGCGACCCTGGGCCCACTTACTTTTTCTTTCTCCACGAACCCCACAAAGGCTGTCCTCTCGATCTCCACGGGCTGGCCCTGTCTGTCGTAGAGGGCCAGGACGAAGTGGAAGAAGTTGGATTTTCTCAGGTTGGAAGGCGGCTGCTTCTCAAAGTGAGCCCGGGCCAGACCCACCCCGCTGCGGCCAAAGACGCAGAGTTAGACGGCTAAACCGAACCCCGACCCGCGCGACCCCTGGTCACCCCATACACGCGCGGCTGCTTTGCGCCCCCCCCAAACGCCCAGTGGGCGCCCTCCCACCCGGGCCCACCCGATGGCGGGATGTGCGTGTTCTCGCGTGTCCTGTCCTCCACGCGGAGCACGGGGCGCCCCCCCCCCAACTCAAAGAAGCGCTGTGAAAGTTTTGTTTGGGTTTCACGCGGGAGGTAAAACACTGTAAGCATTTACTCCGACCCGACGCGCGCTGCGTGGGGAGAAAGGAACGTGACCCACGGTGAAGGCGAACCCGCGTTCTGGGAACAGGGCCGTTCATGGACAACTTAGCGGGAGGGGTCACGGTCACTGGTTCCTGCCACCCCCTCGGAGCTCCAGCCTCAGCTCCGTGGTCTGGTGAGAAGGGCTGGGGACACGCTCAGCCTCTCGCTGCCGTAACGGTCCTCCAGGAAGCCTCGCGCGCCCCTGCCCGCCGCGGGCGCTCGGCCTCAGGAAGCCACATGCTCCCCACCCCGCCATAAAGCCCGTGGAGAAGAGGGACCTACGGGTAGAGCTCGGAACTGTCAGGGTGGGAAAGGGAACTGGGGGTGGTTCGTTGTGTTTTGTGTTTGTTTTTGTTTTTTAAAGACCTATCCTGACAAACTTTCGCTGTTCCGCAGAAATCCTGACACTCGTTCCAGAAACCCTCAGGGCCAGGGCTGCGGGCCGAGCGCGCCCACCAGGGGCAGGGGCTGGGGCGCCGGAGGCGCAGGGCGGCGGCCACTGACAGCTCGACCTGCCCAACACCAGCACGCGCGCTCGCACACACGCACACGCGCGCACACACACGTGTCACACACACACACTTTCACTTCGAGCCCAGCTGCCCAGCTCACTCTCACTACCTACCACCCCCATCTTTATACATAGCGGGGATGGAAACGGCGTGAGCGACACTTGTCCGCAGCCCGGAGAAAATAAGTGATGTAATTAGTCATCTTCCTTCTTCCCCTTCCGCCCTCCCCGAGCCCGGCGAGGCCTGGGGCGCCAGGTCTCCCGCTCCCCGGAGCCCCGCTGGAGGCCTGGGGCGGGGGGGGGCGTTTCTCACTTGGGACCAGGAGTCCCCAGAAACAGGGCTGGAGGTGCCCAGGAAAGTGCCCCCGTCCGTCCATCTCCACGGGCTGCGCCTCGAGGCGACACAGTCCAGCAGCATCCCCGGGGCGCGCAGGGAGCGCGGCCAGAGGGGCCGGGGGGCCGAGGGTGGGAAGCCTTCAGGAGGCGCCAGGGTGAAAGTTGGGAGCCGCGGTTCTCCCGGGTGGGCAGAGAAAAACCGAGGGGAGACCCGAGAGGAGACTCAGGGGCGAAGTGCGGAGAGAAAGGCGGAGAGAAGGGGCGTCAGGGATGGAGAGAGGAGGGCGGAGGAAAGGGAAGGGGAAAGTGAAGGAAGGAGGGACGGAGGCGAGAAAGGAAGGAAAAGAGGGAGTTTTAAAAAGGAGGGAAGACAGGAGGGGAAAAAAGGGAAGGAGGGATAGAGAAGGAAGGAAGGAGGGAAGGGGAGACGGCGGCCAGGGGGGAAAGCGCGGTCCCGAAAGCACAGGCACCCGGCATCGGCCGGGAGACGCCTCTCGCCTCTTCGGCTTAAAACGAAATGAAAACAGTCGCGGCCCAGCCGGGGAGCGTG